GCAGAGTGTTAGGCCAGGTCCTGCAATCCTCCCCCTGCAGCCCAGGCAGCCACTTTGCTGTCAGGAAGGCAGGGGTTTCTGCTAAGCCACACAGGACAGGAAGAACGTGATGAGCAAGACACCCTTCACAGGCTCCAACTCGGGCGTTTGCCAAGTTTTGTTGTGTCCGGATAAGTTTCATTCCAGGGGACTGCTAGCTTCAGCATGTTTAGAAAACAGCATAGAAGGGTATGCACGTCCTCAGAGGTCCACCCAGGCTTGCAAAACACAGCTGGAAGCCTGTGATGGATCCCTGCCCTGAAAACTTCATGCCTGCATATGAAGCATCCCAATATCCAAAGACAAAATTCCAACGGGTATGGGTGGAGGGCAAACGGGAGAGCACCAGCTTAGGATTCCTCAGCAATGAAAGCCTTGCTGTATGATAAGTGATGCAGAAGTTCCTACTCCAGCAGTGGATCACAGCAGACAGCAATTGCAACCATCAGCAAACACACTTCAAGCCAACCTGGTTATGGAAACTGAAATCTTATTTTTCTTGATCCAATTTGCTTATCTAGAGGCAAGGAGCCCATCAGCTGAAACAGCAAGTTCTTATAGCCGTTGCAGTAGCAATTCTCTCTTTTGAGGGCAACATACTGGTTTTTAACACCACATTCAAGCAATCCCTGACTTTGAGAGTGCAGCCAGGGGACTGATGGATATCTATATCCAGAGACAACTCCTTTTCTAATCCTTCAGCAAAAGGGAAGAGTGACCTGAACCAAGGAAATCAGCCTTCCCTACCCTAACAGAAAATGTGAAACTAACTCCCAAGGGAAGCCATGGCCTTTACTTCTTTTGAGATCTTTGTGGGTTTCTTTGGTTTTTTTTTTTGACTCTTCCCCCCCCCCCAAGCATCCTTACTCAAACATAACCCAGGAAAACTGTAAGGGGAAGACAGATACGGGGCCCCACACAGAAACCACTTACACAGCTGGGCTCTTTATGTGGTGGTCCATGGACAGACTGAAGCCACTGGCAGATGAAGGCACTCCATCACTTTTAGGACAGCCACCCCACTGGCTCTGAGCTGCTTTTCTTTCAAATCCTTGGAAGAGGAACTGGGATGCAAAGGAAAAGAAGAAGTCTTTGGTAGGAGAGAGGATGCATGGGGTGATGCACAAAGCCTTTGGCTAAGTTACATAAGGAGGACTAACCTCCCCAAGCTCCAAGGGGGATGGTGGAGATGGCTGTGCAAGGCTATTTTACAAATGTGGAGGTAGGAAAGGGCAGCACTGACCCTGCCTGCTCAAAGCGCACATTCCCCCCACCCCAGCCAGGGCACACAGCAGTCCCAGCTCCATTGTGTCTGAGCAGGACATTGAATACGGGGCACTGCCTTGCTCAGGAACAGACTAGAGACACCTGACAAAAGGGAGAGAAAAAAAAAAAAAAGCCACGTAAACGATGCAAAAGCCAGAAGACTTCACAGTTCAGCAAGAGGCTTACAGGGGCTGACCCATTCAACCTGCCAGAAAGAAGGCAGATGGGTGCGTGATGGTGCCTTATAACACACCCTTGTGCCACGGATGGTATGGGGATTGCAAAACCGCACACGAGGGCAAAGGCGATGCTAAGCCCCGGCTGCTCAGAGGAGGAAACAGCAACAAAGTCTCCTGCTCATTTCTAAGAAGGCGCACAGGCAAGAAAAAGAAGCTGCTTGGGAATTCAGTGTCATTTTCAGTTTGGTTTTTATTTTCATTGACTTCAACAACAAGGTGTTCCAAAACACACGGAGGTCTTGGTGCAGGCAACACTGTCATTGCTACAAGCATTGGCAGATTCTCAGCTCAATTAACCCATACGCTTTGATGTATCAAAACAAAACAAAAATATCACGGCTCTACAGGGGAGGGTAAAAGCTACAGCAGTTCAAACTCACTTGAAGATTCCAGTTATACAGAAGTGGGCTCCACAGTGGTATACAGTAGAAAGAAGGTTTTCACAGCATCTATTTTAATCATTAGTGATGCAGCAGAAAAGCGCTATCTCACTGCTGAATTGAAAAGCAGATACTGAACTTCTTGCACCCAGACTCTGGGCACAGCATTAACTGCATTAACCTTTATAGTCAGAAGCTTCCTAGTTCCTAAAATGACGGCATTTTTGCATCAATATTTGTACAACACTGAAGGATTACACAATGGAGACGCAACACCTTGGAGGTGAGAAGGGCATAGCCTAATTCACCTCCAGGAATTTGCCAAGTACCCGCACTAACACTTCCCTGCTGAATTAATTCTTGCATCGAGTCAAGAGCAGGATGACTCGCTTCTTTTGTAGCATACAGAGAAAAAAAAAAAAAAAAAAGCCAGACATAGTAAGTTTTCACACTGAGCATGTTAAATACTTTGAAATCTAGGACGCTGCTCTTTGAAGTGTTACAAAATAAAATGATAAAAAAGGCTTTCAGTACCTGCTCCCTCCCCCCTCAACTGCAAAGTAACACAGGAATCTCAGTATGAAAAATACAAATATATTTGTCCAGTGATGAGTCATTTGTTACAAGGTATACTGTAAGCGATCTGCATAAAAATAATAATTAAAAAAACAGAAAAACAAACAACATTTTACTGTGGTTCTGTCAGACCTGGTAGCCCAAGAAGAAATAAAAATTGGCATGTTATGCTGTAGGAAACAAAAATTACACATACAAAAACACTTTTATATACACACACTTTAAAGGGTACATCTTGCATTAGTATTTAGAGCTATCCAAAATAGGCTTGCACAGGTACCGAAAGGCAGTCTTTCACTGCAACATAGACCTGGCACAACAGACAGGTGGAGGAGGATGCTAACAATATCAGACTTAAATGAAATAAGTGGCACGCAGCAGGGACCAGAAAACAGCCACTGCATTGAAACAAGATTATCTGGTTGTAGCAAGGTAGGATGACAAGTCATTTAAACTGCTTTTTTCAGCTTTCCCCAACAAAAAGAAGCTGGGCTTACTGTTAAAAAGAGCAAGCCCACTTGAAGGCAGCTGTGCTGAGCCAAGCTCCTCAGTTTAGGTTTGTTTCGCATACGTTACAGTCTCACTACCTTTGCCAATATAAATGTGAAAACACGCACTCTGTTCAGTTACTTGTCCATAGGGTCACTGGCAGGCAGAGGAAATGCCTCAGAGCACAGTTGCTGTAGAACCAATAAAGAAAAAAAGAGAAAAATCAATTTCTCATGTAAACATGACATTTTGCAGTAGCAACACTCATATTACCAGGAACTGGTCCTTGTTCCAAGGCAGCTGGAAATTTCTTTCTTTTTTACTCTCCCCTTCTAGTTGCTCATCACTTAGTCTATAGTCACCAGCAAACCACAACAGGCTCCAGCCTATTACAGATATATCTAAAGACAGTTCTACTTTACTTGGCAGAAACCAATCTAGCATGGTCTAAACAAAAGATTGTCTGGGCTTAGGATAGCCCAAGCCCTACAAATCAGTGTGCAGCTCCCACTTGGTCTTCTGTTCAGCTGGAGACTAGGCAGGCAAATCCTTATAACTAAACTAACCAGGTTGCATATGTGGCAAAGCCTAATTCTCTAGCTTAAATGTCAGTAGTAGTATAGAATGGCTAAAGGTTGGGTGGGGGACAGAAGTTAAGAGTGACTGATGGCTGTGTTTGCATTTATATGCTGAAACAAGCAAACCAGGACATACACGTGAATGTAAATTCAAAACAAGAAGAGACAGCAGGTTTGGTTTTTCCCAGAGAAGGCAAGGGAAAAGGAAGAAGTGGGTTGCAGGTGGCCGTAAGCGCTGGCCTGCCCAGCAAAGTGCATGTGCTGTCTCCGCTGGAGAATATTACACACGAATAGAGCGCTCAGCTCCATGGGAAGAGGCTGTTTAAGTGCGACGTTCAGCAGACCGATTCCTATTTATTTTTTGGAGGAACTACCGGTTTAGGGTTTGGTGGCTTTGGGTTTTTTGCATTTGGTTTTGGGGTGGGTAGTTTGAGTTGGGTTTTTTTTTTCTTTTTTTTAAAATTTGTTCTAACCTTCCTGCTTTTCAAAGCAGGATTGCTGGATGAGAGACACAAGTTTGCAGGTTAGGATGTCCACAGGGTGTGTGAGGATTCAAAAGTCAAGAAAAGAAGCCCTCTCCCCAAAGGAAAACATGAAACAAGAACACCACCTTCTCGAGAAGGTCAACGGCTTTCAAGGAAATACCACCCGCCTTCCCCCTTCGCTCAGCTCTTCCCCTTGCAAGAGCTGGGGTGGAGGTCACGGTCCAGGAGTATGACCTAGACATCATCAAGAGCATAACTAGTACTAGTGAGCAAGAAGGCTCCCTCTGCCCTTCGTCCAGGGGTGCAGTACCAAGCAGAAGGAAGACAAATGAAGGGCTGAGCAGTTTGTGGCCGAGGCGGGGTGGAACAGGGTCCAGCGGAGCTCACTCCCCTTCCTCCTTGATGCGTTGCTGTTTGTTGCGCCGGGCATCCATGTCGAAGTTGAAGTCATTCCACTCATCGCGGGGCGGGAAGGAAATGGTCTGCCGGAGCGTGAAGCGGACTGCGTCGATGACCCGCTCCCCCCGGGTTTCGCTAGAGCCCACACTGACGGTGGAGGCGCCGCTGGGGGTGCGCAGGAGGTGGGGAGGGGAGGAGAAGTCATGGAGCTGCCGGTGGTCCAGGATACCCTTCCAGATGGCATGGCGGAACTGCTCCGGGATCTTGAGGCTCACCAGATCCTGCAAGGCAAGGCGGAGGGCTTAGCAGGGCAATCCCTGGGCAAGCTGGGCTCCGGGAGTAGAAGCAGCCTCTGGGCCACCCTGCAAATGCCTATTAACCAACAAAGCTGCTAAAATCTGGGTGGCCATGATGCACTGTAGAAGACAAACCACTAATCCTGAAGGTGGTGGTTCACTTCTGAACTAGCATGTGTAGCCATGAGGCAGCAAGGACTGATGACACAAGGTCTGTTTTGCAGTTACACAAAACACACATTCATGCACAAGATACAGTGACTTACGGCTAGACGTTAACTGGACTGCAAGACCTCCAAGACAACCTCAGGGAGATCTGCTGGTTATCTATGGTGGTGGATGCTGGGCTGTAGAAGTTCAATGGCTTTGAAAACTGTGTTTATTTCAAAGCCTGCAAAAGGATTTTAGAATTCAAGTCTGAGCTCCAGTATTTGAAGCTCTGGGGCTGACTCTATAGGAACTGCCTTAATTACTTGAACATAACCAAAATTTAAGAACAGACACACAACCTTAGAAAACTTGGCCTTTGAGGCCCCACCACCTCTTGGGCAGTACCTGAGGGTAGCATTACCTAAAGTCTGGGAAACGTGATATCAGCTTCTGAAAAAAATTAGCAACCAGGTTTGGTTAATTTGGGTCAGCTTTTCTAATTAGAGCAACAGCAGAAGGAAAGTAGCCTATGCTAGGAAGAAAAGCACCACAGCCTTGCAAAGTCTTGTGGCAAAAAAAGGGGACAGCCAGCTCTGAGGAGAGCAATGGCACAGGAGAAGCAGCAGCAACCCCGCAGCAAAAGCCGTGCAAGAGGAAAAAAAAAAACAAAACAACTGGGCTGAGATGCCAGTGGCAAGGGAAGATCGTTAAGGTAAGGCCAGAAAAGAGAAGCAGGGAGGAGAAAAATGCAGACCACTTCTGGACAGCCTACTTGTCTGCAGGCAGGTGAGGTGTTTCAGAGCGGTGTAAACTGAAACCAAGCCTTGCAGAATTAACAGGCAGTATGGGCTGGGGCCATTGCGGGGGCTAAAATGCACAGTGGTGGGGAGGGGGAGACACTGTTGCTCTGCGCCAGGCAAGGCAGTTACAATGCTGGCCCCGAGTCCAGCCTCTCTTCACCTCACAGCGAGTCTTCCCTGTGTGCAACAGCCTTCAATCAAACTAATCATATAAAAATAAAATTATACTGAGTCTGGATTTCTGACTCTTTCCTACAGCAGGGCCAAGAGTGCAAACAAAGGAAACGGTGAGGAATTACTTACATCCATGGAGTAATGCTCAATCTGATAGATGGTGGTCAGCCCCTGGGTCGTGAAATAATCCACACAGGATGAGCAGCCCAACCTCGCTAAGAAGCTGCAGAGGAGGAAGGAAGGAAGGAGAGAGAAAAAAGGATCACCCTGGCTGCAACAGCCCAAACCACAGAAAAACCAAACACTCAGCCAACCTGCAGCAACAGGAAACAAAGCTTTCACCCTTGGCTTGACCATCTCCAAGACATCCCAGGCCAGCAAGCCACATCGCTGCCACACCAAACATATGAGGGAGTCCTTCAGCTTGGCTCCTAGCAGATAACCCTTGTGGCAGCACCTTGCCTTATCCAAGAGCCGGTGCTACACAGCTGGACCTTGGGGCAGGAAGACTCACATGGACCCTCTTGCCAGGTCGCTTCACTCAGAAGGTGGCTGAGCCTGCAGCAGCCTGCTGCACAGCTAGAGGGCTTCAGCAAGGCGGTGGGTCTGGGGCTCAGACACATCAGGCACACAAAGTGCTTCAAATCAGCATGTTCCTCCCTAAGCGTAAAGGATTCCTCCTTTATGGGCAGCATCTTTCAACCTGTTTGACCTCATGGAGGGCAGAGGGGGCTTCTGACCCCAGCCATGGCTTGTCAAGGGGCCAAAGGGGAAAAAAAAGGAGAAAAAAAAGAAAAAAAAAGAAATATTTGCAAGACTGGCACCCTCAGCTCCACCAGTCCAATAGATGCTGCATCCCTGAGCTTTCTTGCAGTCCTAATGTCCCTGTTTCTCTCATCTGCTCAGAGGTGGGGGCTTGAGGCTTGGTGCCCAGAGGGTGCCAACCCTCAGGACTGCCAAGATCCACGGGGATGCAGTGCTCCAGGAGAACGGGGTGAGGGACCTGGCAGGACCCTTCAGGCTCCCGACACGAAGCCTCTGCTCCCTGTGGATGGGAAGCGTGTGCCGGGCAGCCTGCTCCCGCTCACCTGACGATGCTGCAGTCTGTGGGGTACGGAGGAGGGGGGGTGCAGTGGGACGTTGAAGGCATGGAGAGGGGAGGAGGCAGCGCTTGAGTGGGGCTGAGGCCATTCATGTCGCCGGTCATGGCCATGTGGGTGCCCATCATTGGAACTGGAGGAGAGAAGGAGGAGCACATCATTACCCAGGCGTCCCCAGACCCCTGCTTCACCCCCAGCATGGCACCAAGGGACAGCACCCGCAGACAAAGCAGCCTTAAATCCCCTGCAGAGTCCGGCACAGAGTGAGCTCTCAGGGAATTTCAGGCAGGGCCGCAATGAGAGCACAAGGACCAGATGAGGGACAGTCCTTCAGCAGCTCTGCCCTCAGCAGAGCCACTGTTGGCAGTGCCACCGCCACCGCGTCACCTTCCCTTACAAACAAGCTGGGAGGAAACCTAAGCAAGCTGCAGGCAGCTCGGCTTTCCCTGCTGGAGAGGAGCGGGACAGAGCCAGTGGAGTAACCCAATATGGAAGCCAAACAGCTTTGTTTTCAGAGACACTGAGAACACCCAAAGGGGATCAGCAACAGGTGTGGGCAAGAGCCCAGCGCTTTTGAAATAATAATAAAAAACAAAACCAAAAAACACAACAAAACTCAGCCCCCAGAACCATGTCTGGCATCCTGGATTTACAGGGCTGCTGGGCACTCTCCAGCAGCCAGGAGGAAGCAGGTTACAGAGCTGTGAGATGCAGGTATTTCCTTTGAAACCAAGAATTGTCTTAACTGAGCCGAGGGGAAAAAGTATGCCAATGTTTGCATCTCCTCTGCTTGGGAAGGAAACAGCAGGTCTTGAAAGACAGATGACAGTGCAGCCAGCCCAATCTGCAGCAAGCAGGGGCTCTGTTTACCCCCGTGAGGCTCAGAGCAGGATGCTGAAGCTTGGGAGAAAGCAGGTGGCTCGCCCCGTGGCACAGAAGCAAGCAGTATTTGGCTCTGCAGGTTCCCAGCCCTGCTACCACAAATGACTCCAGGCTCCCTGGACTAACACTAGCCACTTGGAGATGCTGAGTCTCCTTCCCTAGATCAGTGGGGTGCACGCACAGAGCAGGAGAGGGAGGAGCGAGGGTTTCTTACTGTTGGTTCCCATGCCGTCGGGAATGGTGGTTGGGGTCAGGGCATTGCGCTGCTGGGGGTTAATTAGCTGGCTGACCGAGGGCAGCTTGTTCATGCTGTTCATTTTGCTGAGCGGTGGAGAATTGGAGCCGTAGGATGACTGCGACTGCATGGAGGTCCTGCAAACCAAGGAGATGTTAGGACAGGAATTAAAGCAGTTGGTCGTTAAGAGCACGCATCCCAGGGGCTACGGTTTTTGTTTGTGGCAGTGGTGAGCTACTGCTAGTGAAATCACTGACACCATGGGAGCATCGCAGATGAAGGTCACTGGAGGGAGAGTCAACAGGAAATAAGAAGTTCCCCAGATATTCTGGACATTTTTTTTTTTAAAAAATGGTGAAATACTGACAAAGGGAAGCTTCACTTTTGGTTCAGATTTTTTATACAAGGAAAAGTTTCTACGTAAGTTTTTTCAGTTGAAGGAACATATACAAAGCCAGCAAACAGCTGCCAAAACTCAAAAATAGTATTTTTAAGCTAAGCTCTCCTTGTGGTCAAAGGCTTTTTCATAAGAACAAGAGCTGAGGAAGCTATCTCAAACCATCCTAACTACCCCTAAAATCTGACTGCAGAAACTTTTTTCAGATCAGGTTATGCTTATCACCTTGGTTTCTCCAAAATTCCTAGTTATTTGTATAACCAGGTTGTTATCAAGTGTATATATATATAACAGCCAGAGGCTTTTTGCTCCAGACAGACTCCACACACCTCAGGGACTACTACTGCGATGGTCAGAGCTGCCTGGGATGCTGACACACAGCTTTCGCTGGTGTTAAGGAGAACTTGGTATCCAAACCCTGCAGGCTGCTTGCAAAGAGTATCAGATTCTTATTACCGCTCAACAGCAGCACTCGCCTCCCTCAAGTCCAGACAGACCCAAACTCCGTCCAGCATATCCATGAACCAGGCCAGAGAATCTTGCTGGCGAGCTCCCCTTCCCCATCCCCGAGGGTCCCAGCTGCAATCCCGCCTCGTAAGCAATCCGGAGCCCAAAGACCAGACCGCTTCTGAACAGCAGCCCAGTTCCCAGATCGAGTTACGGCTGTGGCATCCCATCTGGAGTGGGGTCTTATTTGGGATATGCAGAAAATGATCATTAAAGCAGGCCCAACAGCGCAATTGGCAGACCAATGCCATGCCACAAGAGAGTGGGTTTTTCTTTCTCCGACACCAGGGGCATTTCCAAGACTAAGCAAAGGTGCTGGAGAAGCAGGCATGCTTCCCAAACAAAACGTACCCTCACAAGCCATGCTCGCCCAACAGAGCAGAGGTCACTCGGCTCGCCATGGAGCCCAGCACTCATTTGGCCATATCACAGTGACCCGGCAGCAAACGTGCAAGGGCACATTCCCATCTTATTTCCCATTGGGAAACTTGTTTGTCTGGGTATAACTGGTTACACCAATTGCTGGGAACTGGCTTTCCTTCTGTGCAAAGAGAATAGTTATTACTTCAAATAAGCGAAGTGTAAAGGAAAGAAAAGGCTTATTCCTAGATAATTTATTAAAACCTTCAGCACTCAAGGTCAAGTTTCATACAATTACATTGTCTCCAGCTTCCTGCACTTTTAAGACTTGCAGTATTGGGTGGAGAAAACATCTATGCTAACAGGCTGGAGTATCTAAGGCCCTGAAGAAACGTTGCCTAATTATACAATTACAGGAGGTACCGAAGGGTGTGAACTGTCCTTTGGCAGCGAAGATGCAGGATGAGATCCAGCAAACTTCATAGACTCAAGGAAGTGGAAAGCACAAGAAGTTTCACAAATTAATATTAACGATGGCAGCAGCTCCTAAGGGGAAGTGAAACTGAGCCATGAAGTTCAGACCAAACTTTTCAGGGTGGAGGGAACGATTCAGATCTGAGGTTTCAATTCACCAATTATAAAAGTTGAGGCCAGCCATGAAATTCAAGTCAGGTTGACACCACCCTTAACCTAAGAGGCTTCTGGATTTAGGACCAAAATGAATATTTCTACTTTACAGGTTCAGGCACCTATCTTAACTGAGCTTCAGCTGAAATTAATGCACACCTGAATAGTCTCTTAGGGCAAAATCTGCATGATACACAAGCAAGGAGGTCACCACATACACAGTGAAATCCCAGATCAAATCAACAAAAACTTCCCAAAAAAGATTTAGTGGCATTGTTTAAGCCCAGGACAGATTTTATTCAGAGAGCTCATGACTAGAAACATTTTATTTTTTTTTTTTTTTTTTTTTTAAAAAGGATGCCTCTTGCTACGAAGCAAGATTCTCCAAGGAGGTGAGTAGTGGGCTGAACCTTGCCCTCTCCGCCACCAACACTGATGTCAGCAAAGCTTATTAGGAGACTGCAAAATACTTTGGGGATAAAAAGAAAAAGCAGCAAGCAAACACAAGCCAACTCAAAGCACCCTACGCTATAGAAAACAAATGCCTACTTGAACATATAGCTTGAACATATAGGCCATTCTTATCTCATTCATACTCATAAGAATCAAGATTAAGACAATCAATCTCAAGTGAATAAAACAGGAAACAAAAGCTTTTTTCTTTGTACCCATACTCGTTTCAACTAAACAATTCCATCACATGAGCAGACATGTAAAAGGTCTAGAGAAAGCCATCTAGCCAAAGAAAAGTCCCAAGATAAACCAAGATGCAAAATTTTATTGAAAATTAATGTCACACATCAGTATAGCAACAGCCTCAGAAACACAAGAAAATATTTTTGGTATTAAACACACAGACTACATGGTGTTTGAGGATTTGTTTAAAATATATTGCCTTTTTCTCAATTTTTTTTTTAAACAGGTATTAGAAGAATGCCATGCACAGTGATTTTCATGAAAATGATACTATGTCTCAAGAAAGATTAGAAGTAGGAGCATTAAAATTTCTTTGATATCCATGCCAGTGAAATGCATTTTAATATCAAGGTATAAGGACTTCAATTAAGAGACTATTATACTTCTTGGAACAGTCTGATACGAAAGGCACCGAGTCACATTCTGCAACTGATTTTTCTCTCTTCAAGAGTCTATGTAATTATTTAGCCAATAACATTTGTAGTTATGCAAGCTTATATGAAGGCAATCGGCTCTCATGCTCCAAGGCATACACTGATCATCCCAAGAGGTCAGGAAGGGACTTCCTGCTCCCAAATACGAAGCATAGTTCAGTTCACAGGTTACCTTGTATAATTCTGCACTTCCCCAGCTTGCTGGATATCAGCCCTTCACCAGAGGTAGGAGGCTGCTTAGATAGACCAATTACCTGATTAAGCAGACAGGTCCTAGAGTTAATTCACATTAAATGAGCACACCATCATGTAAGCAGCCTTAATGCAAATGACATCAAAGGCTCATTAAGTGCAAGAACAGGACAGCTCAGGCTCTGAGAGTTTAAGATTTCACTGAAGTCCCTGCACCTTCAGTCTGCAATCCCTGAAGACCTAGAGCTGGTCACAATGCAGAGAGGCCCAAGTGGCATCAAAGCTGTCCAGTTCTGGGCCTGCCTTTCCTAACAGGAACCGCAGCAAGTGCAGCAAGGATTACATCCCAAGTTCACACAGGGTCAACGCGCCCATTGGCAATGCTTTTTCAAGTAAGGTTGCCCACTGGGCTGCATAACACTGGGATGTCACTGCTGTAGACTAGTAATGGCACGCAAGTGACACAGGTGATGCTCAGTTGCACTCATCCACTTCAGAGGCCTGTGAAGAAGGACACTAAAAAGCAGAGGGATGCCCTTGCTCTCCACATCTCAAACAGCTGCTATTCTAAAGCAAGCAATAGTGCATCTTTTCAACCACCTAAGTGGTTTGTAGGCTTGGAAACAAACTGGGAACATGGCAGTCAGCAACTAACAGCACAGGGGCAAGGGTGGTGGTAACGACTCCCTTTGGATTTCAGGTATGGGAATTTCCCAAGGCAGGCAGTGGATGCAATCTGCTCTCCAAGGAATGGAGCTATAATAGAGGGAGTGGATACACATTAATTAGTTTGCATAGACTGATACGACCTGACTGGCTGATAAGGCCCAATTAGTCTATTTGGTTATTCCTTGAAAGGAAAAGGCCTGCTTTTCTGAAGCCCCAGAGATGACAAAGAAAAAAAAATCAGAACACAGCTGGGAAACTCCAATTGCTTCCAGCTCCAGGTTATTGGATTAAAAAAAACCAAATGCACCTTCCAAGATAACCACCTAGTAGCTGGCGAGCAAGTCAAGTCACCATTAAGACCAGTTTCACAATCATCATCCTCTTATAGGTAAGGAGGACAATTCTGAAAGCCTTTCCAGAGGACAGGGGGCTCCAAATAATTTACATACAGGTGCTGTATTACCCATCATGGTACAAGATATTTCCTAGAGGTCAGACCAGATGATGAACTGGAGCATGAGCTGGAATCTCCTGATGCAGGCTGTGGATGCCTTGTATCTTCTGGTGGGCTGCCTCCTCCAACTTGCTGGTGGACAGGCCCCAGAGCAGAGCACTAGATACAGATAGGTGTGTCCCTCTTGCAGTATTTCTGTATTGCCATCCACAAGCAGACAAGACCAAGATCTAGGAGTAAACCTTCAGTGGAAGGAGAGACTGACAGTGCCAAGCACAATCCTGCATCTGGGCTGCATTTGCAGTTCAGATTCCCACCTCTCACAGGGAAAGTGATAGTATTGCCTCTCTTCTCCCAAATAAAAAGGCACAGAGCAATAGTTACCTGCTTTGTGATCTCCAAGTACTGCCTGGAGCTTCCAGGCAAAGTACAGAGGCACTTGATTTGTTTAGCTTTACACAATGAGCAAAGGTAGAGCTGCGACTGTATGAAATAGTCACGGCTAGTATTTTAATTAGTTGTTATTTATACTTAATCACAATTTTGGGGGCTCTTGGCTATCATCCCTTCCCCATGCTGCTATAGTACAACAAGTCTTGCTAAGACAACGAAGGAGATATCCGGAGATGGGATATGGCTCTCAAAGGAGATGTTAGTACGAGTCATCACCTGCTCAGATCCCAGCTCTGCTGCCTGGAAGCGGATGATGTGATGTTCAGAGATAAGAGTCTTCTCCCACTACATCAGGCTTTTTTTTTTTTTTTTTTTTTTTTTTCTTAGTGGGTGGCCAGGAGGCCTGCT